ATGCTTCAGGGCATCATGCTTTATGCATGAACTGCTTTTTATTTTTATATTAAAGATTTTCTTGACACAACCCTTTGCAATGTAGTAAAGCAGCAATATAACGTCTTAACTACAGCCACTGCAGCACCTGCAAGTTCAAAGTAGTGAGGCTGATAGTCCCTGATAAGATAGTCCCATGCTAACCTTTTTAATTAATTCTTAATAAACAATTAATTTTTTAGTGAAATACCTCTTGTAATGAGAAAGTCTCTTTCAAAAGATAAATGAAGTAATCCACAAAGACTGAATTTATAAAATAAAAACAGCATATCCATCTATTTACAATATTTAGCTACTCAGTCTTTGCCTTCAGTTGTCTAATCTTTCACTTGCTTTTCTTATTTATAACAGTTTTCTATTTGGAGTGATATCAAATAGAATATTTTTAATCCTCTTATGAATAATCTCCAATTTATTTTTATAGCTATAGAACTAAATTCTACTCTCAGTTCTGTGGGTGTAAATTTAGTATCAACAATTTCAGTGAAGCTACTCCAGTCTTACACACATGAAAAAAAAAAAAAGGCAGAATTTGGCCAGCAGTTTCAAATTTACAACATATAAATGTGAAAAAGTACAGATTCAGGCCCTGATTATGAAAATTGAATCCAGGAAAGACCCCCTCCCAAAGATCCAATGGCAGAATTGTGGGCTCTTACCTTGTAAAATTAATAAAAATGCTATTGTTGGCCAAAAATTATTTTGTTCTTGGTTTAGTACCAAATAATTTCTTATGAACTCGTACATTTAGTGAAAACTATATTCTTACAGTTATATAAGGCTAAGAGTAAAAAAGCAGTGTATGTGTGCGTGCCACACACATATACACATTTATTTATATTTATATTTATTTAGTCCTGCTTAGTGCAAATCCCAGTAATCCCACTAGTGTGATTCCTTAATTATGGAATCGTTACTGACACCTCAGTTATCTAGACAGACAGACAAGGACAGATCTATGTGTGTGTTTTTATATATATAGCTGTTCCTATATATGGGAGTGAACGCACATTTGTCTGTTTAAGTGAACAGTTTTTTGTCTGTTTTATTATATTGCTAATTTTCAGTAGCTTTTCCAGTACCCAGTTCATTACAAATCATAGTCAGGTCAAAATGGTTTATGGAATATTATTTCTACTAGAGACAACACAACAAGAGCAATTACTTTAACCCTGATAAGAATCATAGGTTTACTGTGTTTGTTTAGGTTATGATTTCTGTTCTGGAAACACTTTACTATTTGGCAGAACTCCTACTTCTAACATACACACAGACACTCACAAACACAGCACAAATGAGCATGATTCTAATGCTGAAGGTCTCAGATTGGCAATTGGCAGCTAGACAACACAACATACTTCACTAAAAGTTTTGTTTGTTTAGTATTCATAATGTAATGTTTACTCCAGGACACATTTCCTGGACAGAGGCCGCTTATACCTAACTTCACGCCTAACCCAAATACAAAAAATAATGAAATTTAACCAACCATCCATAAGTCTATGCCATAGATGGACTGAATTATAACTTTTTAATTTAGTCAAGTAAAGAATTATTACAGTAGGACTTTAGGGCAGGAATGTGTTAATAAAATCACTCCCTGCCTTTTCATTTAAAATAATCCCCCAGAGCTGATTAAATGAAATATCACTTGTTTAATAACTGACTGAACATTATTTTTAAGCAGAAATGTTTTGCATATCTTCCCTTCCTATTTTTAATTCCAGGCACAAAGCATTGAAGGCACTGACATCACACAAAGGGAGTAGAGTTTAGCACTTGGATATAGTTTGTCCTGTCATAGTGGCATCTATAATTTAGTGTGAAGCAGTGAGGGAGACAGAGCATTATCATTAGAAATCATCCTGAACAGGGATATAAAACACAGTTGCAATAACACTTGTCAGAAAGGTGACTGCAGTCAAAACTAATATCCAGGAGTTTCGAGACAAATGCTGACGCTGCAGCCATTCTACAAAGACTATTATTGCTTAATACCCCCCTACTCCCAAAAAACCAAACCAAACTGTGAACCTTCCCAGGAGTGAACAAGTTAGTGTGAAGTTTGTATCTGGGGTGTCATAAACTTTCTGAGATTTACAGTAAGTAAAGCCCTTCTTTACCTGAATAAAGTATTTTATGTTGCTTCAGAGAATGAATCAAATAGTCTTGCTGACTTAATGACTTAAAGCTATTCTGAATTTCCCCCCTTGTTATCTTGAATATATGAGCAGAGTCCTTAAAACTGGTCATTAGCTGTGCTACTTATTGGTTCAATCCTCCACCCAACCTGTAGTGTGCCTCAGCCAGCACTTATCTATTGCCAGTCTTTACATTAAGAACAGTGTCTTTGACTTAGAATAAAGCTGTAATTTACCAGCACTGTATTGCTGACTTCATAAACTGTGAAGCCACAGGGAACACCCCAAATCTGAATTATAGCCTGGGTACTTTACTTGAACATAGGTATAGAATTTTTGTTGTGTTTGCTTATTTAACAGTGATAATGAATATCTCAATATAAAATAAAACAGAAAAGTAATTCTGAATGTAAAGAAGCCTATCCTGACTTTTTTACAGCAAGACACACACATACACACACCTCAATTTCTTTGTGCACGTTCTACAGGGCAGGAGAGAAGTGCTGCCTGTATGGATTTCTTATATAGAATTTCTTCTGATCTATGCACCATCTCACTTTTTGAGGTGGTCCCTACAGACACACTAGAAGACTAGTGTAGTGAAATTTACACTGTGCTATACCTGTTCTTTGGATAGAAGACTTCACTCTCCAGCACCAGCAATCTGGTGCCTTTCAATGGCAACCGTCACTTTGCCTCAATTTCCTCATCTGTAAAATGAGGATAATGATACTTATCTCCTTTTAAAAGAGCTTTGAGATCTACAGACAAAAAGTGTCATATGAGAGCTATTATTAATTACTATTATTTTTATTTAAAAAACCTGACACTTGCAGCCATACACGCAGGGTTGTGCACAAGGGGAGCAAGCAGGGGCATGCCACCCAAATAATCGGCACAGAACTCCTCCGGCCCTGGGGCTGAAACTGGGGCAGGGAGAGCGAGCTCCTTTGGTGGGGGCACAGAACATGCCTATCCAAAAGGGGTCACATTTAAATTCCTGCTCGCACCCCTGCACACAAGTGTCTGGATTAGCCAACCATGTACTTGATTAAAATAAAAGACAAAAAGTAAGCAAAAGAATTGTTCTTTTCCGAGCCTCTCTGGGAACTTCAAAGTGCTTTGCTGACGGCATGCTGCACAGGAGCAGATTGGTTTCAAATCACAGGGTGGGAAAACTGCCTCAAACAGCCCACTCGTGCTTGTATTCCTCATACTGCTATCTCATAGACCTAGCTACCACATCTTTTGCTGCTGTGCACATTGTCTGACCATGCATCTAGTAGCATCTCCTGGATCCTTCTTGCATGTGAAGCTGACAAAAATCCATTTCAATGCCTAAAAGAAAAGAGTTCATGTTAACTTTTATAATAAATATGGGTGTTTCGTAGTGTCTTGCAGAGGTCTTCAGAAAGGACAAGAGCATAGATCATGATCTGACAGCCTCCAAATACTCGTGCACTATGCTGACATACATTAACTGAGAGTGGGATTTACTTTGCATTGGCCTCAACAAATATATACTGGAGAAAAAAATCAGAGTAGGAAGAGAAAACAGTTGTTACTGGAGGAAATGCAGTGATACATCTTGTGTAGTATTCTGTCTTTAACAGTCACGAGTAACACATGATCTAGGGGAAGGTGCAAGAAACCCCATAGTGCACAATCATGCAATAACTTGCACGTAGGAGACGTTTCTTCCTAAAACAATCCAATTAGTAGCTGGTTTATGACACGAAGCATAAGGGACTCTATTTCCTCTACACAAATATTATCCTTTCAAATCTAACTGAATGTTCTCATTACCTATAAAGATTCAATCTTACTATGCATTTGCCCTCAATTATATCTTGTGGCAATGAGTTCCACAGATTAATGATGTGTTTTACAAAGAATATTTGCTTTTATCAGTTTTAAATTTGTTCCCTTTCAGTTTCATTGAATGTCCCCATTTTCCCGTCATGTGTCATCCAACTCTGAAGCCATTCTATATTTGTATATTATTTCTACGATTAGGTGAGCAGAAAGGATACAGCATTCCAGGTGACAGCAGACCATTTGTTTATTTTATAATAATGTCATTATTATTTCCTAAGCCCTTCTTTATATATCTTTTTCTTTTCTATAGGCATGTGGTATAACAGCTGATTTTAAAGGGAGATTGCGTATTTCTGTTAGCAGCTCTGCCACTTCATTCTTCCTTTAGTACTTCTGGATGTATATATCTGATCCTGCTAATTTGTTGCTCCTTAATTTATTAGTTTGTTCCAGCACCTGCTCTTTTGATATCTCAATTGCTGACAGTTCTCATCTTTATCTTCTTTATTACTTTAAAGAGTGTAGGTGTATCTCCCCAACATAATCTGGGTAAAGAAATCATCCAGGTTAACTGCAATGTCCTTATCTTTCAATAGGTCAGCCAAACCCACCAGTTCTTTCCCAGCCTGCCCAGATACTAATATATGTAAAGACTGTCTTGATTTTTTTATGTTTATGTCTTTAGGCTATTTACTCTTCAAATTTGCCCTTAACTCTCCTAAATGCCATATTACATTTTACGTGCCATAGTTGGTGCTTCTTTCCAATGGCTTTATTAGGGCTGAATTTCCATTTTTTGAAGGATACTTGTTCAGCTCTGGTAACTTCTTGAACCTTGCCATTTAGCCAGACTGTTTTGTTTTGTATTTTTTCCCCTTACCTCCCTACTTCATTAGTTTACGGGTATCCATTACTTATGCAAATCCATTATGGTTGCTTAAATGGCTTCCAGGCTTAGTCTAAGAATTTTAATTTTCCAATTTTTTTACTTTAGGGCTCTACTTCATTAGTCCCTTCATTTTTCTGAAATATCTTTTTAAAAGTTTAGAGTCAACAGTGCTCGCTTTTGGTATAAATCCCTTCACCCACTCCAAGATGTTGAACTTAACAATATTAGTGGTTCAGCTATAGTTATTTTTTTAACCAGCTGTTGTATATTATGTAGGACTAAGGAGCAGCCTCTCCATTTATGCGCTGTAAAACTAGCGGTTCCGAGAAGCAATGATTTCAGGTGTCAAGAAATTGCTTCTTTAATCCCTGTCCCAATGTGAAGTTTGTGGGTAGCTGAAGTCATTCATTATTGCTGTTTTATTGGATGTGGTTACTGGATTTCCTTCAACATTGCACACTTAATATCCTTCTCCTGATCAAGACATCTTCACATGACCTTTGTATATCTGTATCTTTAAGACTTGGGATCCGCATCCAAATACTGGAGAAATAATTCAAAATTTCTTCATCCTGACATCAAATTATACTCATAAGAATGTAAAGATCTGTGAGACCCTGAATTATCTACTGTATAACTGGTATTTGGTCAATGGAATATTCCTAGGGACAATTACTGATTTCATCTAAATGGAATGGAAAAATTGTTCAAATTTTAATGCATGTGAAAGTCAGATATACACAGCATCCACTCAGAAAAGTGTCTAAGGTCTTACGCAAGCACAGCGATTACCACAGGCCAATAAGAAGGTACAATAAACAGATGGGGCTAGAATGTGGTTATTGTATATGCAGCATATATGTGGCACATTATCAGATCTATTATTTAAGACAGGAACAATTTACATGCAGATATTTACAGAGAAAATTGTTTCTTTAATATTACAGATCTGTTTTCAAAATATATTTGGCTGATGCCAAAGTAGCCAATGCTTTTTAAAAGCATCTGCAGATTCTAGGTGTAAGCATAACTTCTGAATTTGTCCTCACAAAAAAAATAAATAACTATATAGACCATTTCAAAATCATATACATTATATATGAAACAGAAGCTATAAACAAAACATATACCGAATTTCCTTGCTAGCAAACTGGAGTCTAGATTTACAGTAAATTTACTTTCCTTCATAGCTAGGAAACTGCATTAAATAAAAAATTAAGTTAGATGGAGAGGAATGAATTTCATCAAAACAATGTTAGATAATCTAACTTGGATCCTGAAATCCACAGCGGCTGCCACCAATGCAGTCTCACACCACTGAGAAATAACATTGCTTAAAACTCCAAAGACACCAAAAAGAGCTTTGCTGAATTATCTACAGTACTTAATGTGGTAGATTACTTAGTTGCTATGAGTTCGTCTCCTCATTTGTTCAGGTAAGTATTTGACATAACAAGTGCTAGGAACAGGTACCACAGAAGCTATGATCCTTGTAGGGAAAAGAATCATAAAAGGGAGAGAAATTTAGCAAGATTATTTAAGCAACTATAGGTCATGACATTAGAGATACAATTAACCACAAAGGCACTGCTGTGACATTATGTACAATACTGCTACAACTCCAGTACTGTGGAAGTCAAGGAGAGTTAGAGGGGTGAAATATTGGAACGGCCTTCCGAGGGAAACGGTGGGGGTGAGGGATTTGTCTGGCTTTAAGATTAAGTTAGATAAGTTTATGGAGGGAATGGTTTAATGGTAAAACATAGTTGTCAAGGAAAACCAAGCAATGGTAGGTAAATAGCATAATGGCTAAAAGGGGTCAGAATGGAGACTCTTGCCTATATGCTCGGAGTCTTAATGATCGCCATAGTTGGGGTCGAAAAGGAATCTTCCTCCAG